TGGCCTTTGGTTTGTTTCTTTGTGTTAGTTATGTTGGAATTCATATATCTGCAAAAGAAAATCAGATGCGAGCAAATATGATAATAGTTACAACTCAAAACTGTTGAAGATAAGCATGACGGCAAGCATTTGTGTTATTTTACCATTTATGACAATCTGGACTTCCCAGACAATATTTATATCATCAGATTTATTCTCGTGTGACGAGAATGAATCTGATGATCATTTCCGTTGCAATCACAGCCAACAATCTGAAAAGTCCCAATAGCAGAGCAGGGTATGAAGTACATTAGGGAAATAAGAATAATAGGTAACAGAAGTGTGTAAAAATGGCTAATGAAACTGTACGGACGTGTCTGCCATCTTTGAAAGTCTGCAGGAATCAAACCCACCTTTCAGTAAAATTTACATGAATTCAAACCACCGACTACATCCTGACCCAAAAACAAACCTAACTCCATGTCACAAACTTTATTTAGCAATCTAAGTTGCCATGAATATGCATGACCTTCTGATTCTGAGGGGAGGGTTGATGGGGGGCTCTGCCACAACACCCCCTGGGAAACATTCTCTTCATTTCAGTATGTACAACACGATGAAGCTGCATACATACCTTACAGAATAACTCAAACACCTTTACATCTCAAGACACCAAACTTTACTTTATTTGTCTATTTTCTGGATGGCTTAGTTTCTGATCACTTTTTCCGGCAATTCTCAGCATTTTACAGGCTCTCATATCAAGCTGTGATAGTTACTAATGTCTATTTCTTCTGCCAAGCCTCTGAATTTTTTTAAAAAGGATCCAGAATCAACACAACCCTGAAAAATAAACATTTCTCACCATCATTTTGTCAAGGAATGGCAGTTGCAAGGATTAGAATAGCTCAAGTGGAAAGCACAAATGGACATTACTTTTTTGTAAAGAATAGCATAACACAATCAAAACACACAAGAACATTCACTCAAAAGAAAGGAATGCAAAAAATACATGAATTAGGAAAATCAGACATTGAAGTTTACAAAATATTTTTTTTTACAAGCAAGCAGCAATACATGAACTACTTGAAAGATCGCAGGAGTTAAGCGGTCATAGTACTGTAAACATTTGTGATGTAAGCATGTCAAGGGACTTAAAAAAAGATGTGTCAAGGTTCTCTCTTCTCTACCATGTATCTCCTATATTTTAGATTTGCATACCTTATGCCACAGATGAAGAATGTCTTAGTTTACATCAAGGTAATCAATCTATACACCTTTTATACTGTAACCCTGATTGTTATCCGCTGTAAACTTACCCTCCAAACATGTAATTATCTCTCTTGTATCTTAATTACCTTCTAGATGATGTCTGAACTGTACAGAAGTAATAATCCTTTCTCTGGTTATCTTCAAAAGTGTTCGCTCAGAGCCTATTGACTCCAGTCCTAGCCATCATGAAAACTTCAGCATGAGGTTGCATGGATGGATCTCAAACCCAATTAACATCGTTATCAATAATAAATCATCAATTTTGTAAATCGTTACGTACATCTCCCTTCTACTCGATTCTTTTTAAAAAGAAATTCGTAAAATAAAACCACTTCCATATCCTTCTACATAGTATATAATACACCATCCTAATTTGCATCAACGCCTTGGGAATGACTAATACCGGTATATTGTCATCAGGAATAGCATGACATGTCCACGACTGCCATCAAAAAGCCTTTAATTCTCATGTAGCCTCATATCCCTATTACTTATAAACATTCCAGTAACCTCATGGCAAACAGGCCTTCATACTTACATGGAAAATTGCGAAGAAAATGAGAAATGCATCGATTATCAAGGCGAGGATGTAGGAAAAGGCAGCGAAGGTAAACGCCATGTTTATGTTTGGATTGGAAATGTGCCGGGAGGATGGTTCTTTTCGGAGCCAGGGATTTTTTATGATCAATCTATTGAGAGTGCGTCTATATTTGGTTGATTTAATTAGTCAACTCTATTCTGATGACTATTTGTTGATAATGTACCGTATGTACGTATATGTTGATCACACACACAACACACACACACACACACAACACACACACACACACACACACACACACACACACACACACACACACACACACACACACACACACACACACACACACACACACACAACACACACACACACACACACACACACACACACACACACACACACACACACACACACACACCACACACACACACACACACACACACACACACACACACACACACACACACACACACACACACACACACACACACACACACACACACACACACACACACACACACACGCACACACACACACACACACACACACACACACACACACACACACACACAACACACACACAGCACACACACACACACACACACACACACACACACACACACAACACACATACGTCACACACACACACACAACACACACACAACAGTATATGTGTGCATATATATAATATATATAGTATAATATATATATTATATATATATATATATATATAGTATATATATATTATATATATATATATATAATATATATATATATTGTATATATATATATATATTATTATGTAGTATATATATATATACATATATATATATATGTATATAGTATATATATTATATATATATATATATATATTATTACATATATATATATATATATATATATATATATATCATATATATATATATATACTGTTAGTATAAATATACCTGTATATATACCTATATACTATCACCCATTAAACTTGGTGTGCTACAGTTTGACCTACAATGCCTTTGTATATCTATTCCTTGATTTAATCCTTTTCCTGTATGTGATACAGAATCCTATCCTATAGGATATGTTTTTTTTCTGTACATCTTTGACTTTACTTTAATTCCCATGTTACTGTTTTGACTTTTTTTGTTCTGGAAATACTTGTTAATATTTCTTGTTATTATAAAATGTGGCTATTTTCCCTCTCTGTAATAATCAAAATGCTATTTGTCTAGTCTATACAGTCTATTTCTTTATTCCATTGGATTTGTGGTATCAGTTGATACATAAGACTTAGAGTTGGATAGCAACTATATAAACCATGCTTGACCTAAATCAAGCCTTTGTAAGGATAATGGTTATCCATCTCTGCATGAGGCAATTAATCCTGACCTGGCGTGGTGTGGAACTTCCTATCCTTGCATACACACAACACACTGACATCCACCAACACACACATTTAAACACACACAGGGCACAGTCCCATGCACACACACACACAGCACAGGTGTACACACTTTTATTACATAACACAATCTCAGGCAAAACACAAACAAACAACACACTTGCACACAATAGCGTGCATATATATATCGTTCTTATATTAGTTAGTGTAGTTTTTTCTCAGTTCGGTGTAGTTACACACACTATTACTTTTCACCTGACTTTTGTGCACACACATTACATATATATATACATTGTCAATTTCAGGTCGGTGTTGGGAATAACCCATCATCCACAGTAAGCCATTCTTCTTCAGTTATATAGTTAGTTAGTTTTTCTTCAATTCGTGTAGTTAGTTATTGCTGTCCGATTTTGCTTTTTATTTGGTATGGTTTACCACATCATATCTGAAGATTTTATGTCATCTGAAAGTAATGTAATCTGGCCTGGTGATGAAATGATGTGATAAGATTTATTGTCCTCGATCTATTTTTCAATCTTAATGATAACCTTAAGCTTCAAAGCTGGGGTAAAAGTATTTGTTTTATCAAATCTAGCCAAGATAATGATATAATAACTAATATGGTATTGCTACAAATCACTGGTTTACAAAATAACTGTTGTAATGCAAATAATAAATAAGAACTTTTGCCCTCAGTTTTCATTTAGTCAGCGACAAATCTCAAATACTAATAAACACAATAGTCTCTCACATGAAGGATGGACACTTATTTGTGTACTGTACTTGTAAAAATCTGTGTAATTAGTTATTATTCTATGTCTTAATATGCATCTCAGGTACTACTACAGTATAAAAATTACCCTGAAACAGTATCCACTGCTTTTAGATTTCTTAATTTGGTAATCTGCAGTGTAAGAAAATATTGATATCATAATTTCAAATATAACCCAATAGTGTATATATTATTACATAGGTTGTTGTTGCTTCTTTGATCTATAATCAGCTATTCAGCCTACTTATATACTGAAAGTAGTGTTTTCTTGTTATTACTGCTTCCTATAAAAATGTTAGTTGGTACCAAAGAAAAAAATAGTATAGACAGTAAACTTCCTATCCCAATGCACAAAGACAGTAGTGTTTTATCACCCATATGACATTGATGACTAGTCACCAATATCATGCATGTTGTAGTCCTACACAATGTACAATTTATGTCACATATTTACTAGATGAACGTGTGATACATGGTGTATAAATCATGATCCCTAGACTACAGTAACACCATCCCTCTCTAAAATCATATTTCTTATACTATAAACATTCACCAAAATAAAGAAAACAATAATTTTGCATTATCAAACAGTATCAATTCTGTACACTTTATTTCAAAGGTTGTCTACTTCCTCTTAATATTTATTATAATTGATATAGTATCCAAACCTTTATTTATTTTTATTTTTCATCATACACACAGTCTGCATCAAGTTCACGCAATTCAGAATTTTTTATTATAATGTTTGTTGCACAGTTATCATGGGAAATATATTTCCAACATATCAAGCTTTAATAAAATATCTTTACTGTCTAAGAACTTAAGTATCATTGGGTGATTATCTTAAAAATATGTTCAAGCATCATCACCACATAAACAGGTTTTTTATATCTTTGACTTTTTGCTAGTCTGTGCTACACATTTCTTGAATTGGATTTTCATGAAATTCAGGAAAAATGTATGCAGTGTATGTTCTCAAAATGATGAGTCAATGCATGTAAGGGTACTAATCATCTTCTGAGACTCAAACAAGAAAGTAATGTAAATTGTTTATTCAAATACTAAAGGCAAAAATGCCTTAAAAATCTGTATTGCATTCATTCAACAGAGACCAGATATTTCCTCTTTGTCACAGAAAACAGTATTCTACCTGTAAAATACACATAAATGTAAAAACAAAAAACAAGTTCTAATACAGCTTTTCCACTTATTAAAAGTACCACTGCAGAAGTACATTAACAAAAAAAATTACAGGATTCAGTAGTGAGTCATTCCTATCATTGTAAACAATTCTAATATTATTCAACAAAGATAAAAATAGAATGGCTACCAAAATATCTTTGGAATGGAAATCACTTTTGGGATAACAATTTCTCAACAATTTTCATGAGACGAAATATACACCAAAATGAGATTGTTCTTCTCTTTATATAACCTTTAATGCTCCATGTGGAAGTCATTAAAAAAAGCCATTTTTTCACTTTTAACAAGTTTTATACAAAAGCACTTTGGAAAATCTAATAGAATAACACTTATATATTAGACCAGGGGGGTGTCATCGGTTGTGGATTTTGCAGGTACGACATCACAACTGCAGAGATTGACAACCTAAAAGTAAAAAATAGAAAAGTAAAATCAATTAAAATAACATACAGATTGAATCCTAAAATTCTTAACATCAAGTGCTACCAAAAAAGAATGAAATATTCAATTACAATCTTTTATAAGTCTAAATGTAGAAACATCTTTATAATTACTTATTTGTTACTATACAAATTTGATTTTAAACTATTATATTTAAACAAACACTGCTTCTATTGGTCTATCCACATTTATAACAAAGCTTTATACAACGTACATGAAACTGCTGAGCATCTGCTTCGTATCATCGTTTACTCGAGAATTCGCAAAGCTGATGCAAGAGCAGTAAAGTGCCACCCATGCGCACCACTTCAACTGAAAATTGGAAAAGAGAAATATAAATCTTAGTCTTAAAAAGGACATCTACATAGATTTTTCGAGAAAAAAAATAAAAATAATAAGTAATCAACTTCACCAAAATATAATTCAATAGATTATTATCAGTCTCAAAAATGACTTGAAGTCTATATATTTCAAATATTAATAATACAGTCTTTGAATCCAAAAAATGCTGAGGAATGTCTTACTCGCATCATGAGGCCACACATGCTGAAGATCATGCCCAAGACATTCATGTAGTCTGTGGTGGGGTCTTCACCTGGTGCACCTGGAGTTCCCTGAGCAGGGGGTTTGTAACTGTAAAAATAGAGGTCTGTTATTCGATTCTGATCGTATTTCTCTTGTAGGCAAACTCTGAACATTTTCAATTGCTATAAAAATGAAAATGCTATCAGCTCTCATGTAAAATGTCACAAAATTGAATACTAAAGGGAAAACTTTAATTTCTAGAATCAGATTCTACTATTCATCAATATAAAACTTTTATACAAGCAACACTAAATAATGGAAACAAAGTCACCACAAAGATATTGAACACCACTGTTTCAGCTGACTAGGTATTGATGCCAAAACCCTAACTAACTTTGGTTATTCTGGAGGATATCGAATTTTAGTAAACGAACATGAAATGCTATTTAAATGGAAGAACAACATGCAAACTAATCAGGGACGTCAAATTTAAAGCGCAGAAAGATATAATTACGTCATGATATTAAAATAAAGGTGCACGGCAATCCGCTAGGGAAGCATGGCAATTGGCTAGGAAAGCACATCGATTGGCTAGAGAAGCACAGCAATCTTGGGGGGGTTTCAGGGGGCATAGTCCCTGATTAGGAAGATTTTGGTTCCTAGGGAAGCACAACAATCGCCTTGGGAAGAATGGCGATTGGCTAGGGAAGCACAGCAGTTGGCTAGAGAAGCATGGCAGTTGGCTAGAGAAGCACGGAGATTGGCTAGGGAAGCACAGCGGTTGGCTAAAGAAGCACAACGATTGTAGGGGGGGTCCGAGGGCACAGCCCCCTGGTTTGGAAAGTTTTTGGTCCATATGGCTATCCTTATAGTAGTTTATTTGTTTAGGCTGAGGTTCATCTGCTCGTTCATTCGTGCAACGCCATGTTGAATCTGCCGAGGCCGAATCTTGGCTCGGATTTTTCATTTTTGTACTTTCATTATTATATAAAATGCGATTCTTGGCCTGGGATTTTCATTTTTGCAATTTCTTTTACTTTTTAAATTACCTTCAAATAATTTTAAAAGGGTAATTTTGTGGGAAATTTGGCTCGTCTTTACGAAAAATGTACTTTCTCTACAGTTGTCAAATCAAAGCTTGTGTCGGGGGCCTGTGTGTGGTCTCCCAAGTTTCAGCTCCATCATGCCCTACCTAACAAGGTGAAGACAATACTTACTTGGGGTATTTGAAGGCAGAGACCACCAAATCAAATCTCCTTCAGGCAGTGCCCAACGAGCAGACCAGTCATGGCAATTTACATTTGATAAAAAATTTTGTAACATGGAGTTGAGGACAGTTTCTAGTGAATGTCTAAAAAAATACCTCTGAATACAGCTACATATCCAGAAGCTGTGGTTGCATTTTTTTGCAATCTGAACTAAAATTCCAGTCTGAACTTAAAATGAACATGCCATGCTATAGAGTATTTTTCTTGCGTGGGGAATATTATTTTTTTTATGCGCGAAAAACATCATTTTGTCTACATTTGCCCGAACGGATCTGTGGACGAACGACGAAACAACTGCACAGAAAGGTCAGAAGAATTTTATGTACAGAAGATGACTTAAAAAAGAACTAAGCATACACGGATAGCTACATTTGCGTGGACAGAATTTGACCAAATAATTTTTGCACGGGGAACCAAATTTTACAGTCTGGCCAAGCTAGAACCTGGCTGTGTGTAACCTGAAAAGGATGTTTTTCCTTTCTTTTCTGATATCTTGAAAATAGTAACCCAAAGACTAGATTATCTGAAGTCACCGACATCCCTCACGTTAATTTACAATATGGATAACAAGCTAGGAACTTTGATCTCCACTTAAGACCTATGCCATAACATCCTATTACCCTAAATCATTTTCTTTTCAAAAGCTAACAAAACTGAAAACACCTCATACATCACCTCACAATCTTATCACTCCTCTTAGGGTCGGAACTGCTATTTGAAGCTTGCATTTTGGATAATTTAAAGAGTAACTTCCCTTGTGACCTGAATCCGTCGTCTGCTGGGTGACTGAGAGGCTTTGGTAACAACACAGCGCTGGGTCCCTTCGCGCTATGTAAAGAGGGAGGCTGAGGGTAAATTATCCATAGATGATCTTTTCCCATTATTGATAAATTAAATCATTATATATCACCGCAGGAACTCACTGAATATTTTTTTCAATATTATTTTAGTTGTATTTAAATATGGATAAAAGGATGAATATTTTTTTCGCCGCTTATGAATATCTTATCACTATGCCAATAAAAAGAACATGAAGATAAACTCATTTCCGCAATTTCGTCGTAGGTTAATCGCTAAATCCCAATGACGATGGAAGCAGACATACTTTTTACTTTTTTTTTATTATCAAATCACATATCGCGCCGGATGTCTAGTTTAAAAATTTTCGACATTCAATCAATATCCTTTTAGAAATACTCTTGTTACATTATTATCATTATCATTATGAGATTATTATTGCTATTATCCTTATGATAATCATTGTTATAATCATTAGTATTTGTATAATTTTTTATTGTTGTCATCATTAATGTTTTTACCATTATCATTATTGTTATCATAATCATTATTATCATCACTATTATCATTATTATTATTGTTTTTATTACTATTGTAATCATAATTATCATTATCATTATTATTATCATTATTATTTATTATCATTATTATTATCATTACTATTATCATTATCATCATTATCATCATTATCCTTATCTTTATTATCATCATCATTATTATCACCATTATTATCATCATTATTATTATTATCATCATTGTTATCATTATTGCTATTATTATTACTATTATCATTATTATTATTTTATTGTTATGATTATTATTATCATTATCATTTATTATTATCATTATTATTACTATCATTATTATTATTATTATTATTATTATTATTATTATTATTATTATTATTATTATTATCATTATTATTATTATTGTTGTTGTTATTATTAATAGTAGTAGCAGTATTAGTCTTATTATCATTATTATTATTATTGTTGTTGTTATTATTAATAGTAGTAGCAGTATTAGTCTTATTATCATTATGATTATTACTCTTATTTTATCATTAACATCATTATCATGATCATTATTATCATCATTATCATCATTATCATTGTCACTATTATCATCATTATTACTATTAACATTATTAACATTATTGATGATTATAATCAGTGTTGTTGATAATGATCATTTATATCATTACTATGATGATCCATCATTAACATCATTATTATCATTATTACTGTCATTACTATGATGATCATAATCAAAATTATTATTATTATTATCATTACGACTGTCATTACAATTACTTACATTTTTATCATTATCTATTTAGTATCATTGTTATCATTATCATTATCATCATTGTTATTGTTTCTATCATTACGATCACCATTTTTATTATCATTATTATTTTTATCGTTATTATTATTATTATCATTATTATTATTATTATTATTATCATCATTATTATTATTATTATTATTATTATCATCATATCATTATTATTATTATTGTTGTTGTTATTATTACTATTATTATCATTATTATTATCATTATCACTATTAATATTGTTACTATTATTATTATTATCATTATTATTATTATTATTATTATTATTATTATTATTATCACTATTGTTGCTGTTGTTGTTGTTGTTGTTGTTTTTAATGTTGTTATCATTATCATTATCATAATCATTATTATCATTATTACTTTCATTACTATTATCATTGTTATTTTTGTCATGATTATTGCTATTATCAACATTATTAGATTTCCTTTATCATTGTTGTTAT